ACTGGTGTGAGGTGATATCTCATTGTGGTCTTTATTTGCATTTCCCTGTTAATTAGCAATGTGAAGTATCTTTTCATGTGACTGTTGGCCATCTGAATTTCTTCTTTAGAGAAGTATCTGTTCAAATCCTCTTCCCATTTTTTAATTGTGTTGTTTGCTTTTGGGTATTGAGGCATGTGAGCTTTTTATATGTTTTGGATTTTAACCCCTTATCAGATATGTCATTTACAAATATATTCTCCCATACTGTAGGATGCCTTTTTGTTCTGTTGATGGTGTCCTTTGCTGTGCAAAAGCTTTTTAGTTTGATGTAGTCCCATTTGTTAATTTTGCTTTTGTTTCCCTTTCCCAAGAGGAAAAAGTTGCTTATGTTTACATTCAAGAGATATTTTCATATGTTTTCTTCTAAGAGTTTCATGGTTTCATGACTTACATTCAAGTCTTTGATCCATTTTGAGTTTAGTTTTGCATAAGGAGTTAGACATTAATCCAGTTTCATTCTTTTACATCTAGCTGTCCAGTTTTGCCAACAACAGTTGTTGAAGAGGCTGTCTTTCCTCCATTGTATGTCCATGGCTCCTTTATCATATATTGATTGGCCATATATGTATGGGTTTATATCTGGACTCTCTATTCTATTCCATGGATCTACGGCTCTGTCCTTGTGCCAGTACCAAATTTTCTTGATTACTGAGGTTTTGTAGTAGAGCTTGAAGTTGGGGAGCATAATCCCCCTAGCTTTATTCTTCCTTCTCAGGATTGCTTTGGCTATTTGGGGTCCTTTGTGGTTCCATATGAATTTTAGAAGTATCTGCTCTAGTTCATTGAAGAATGCTGTTGGTATTTTGATAGGTGTTGCACTGAATCTGTAGATTGCTTTAGGCAGGATGGCCATTTTAACAACATTAATTGTTCCTATGCACAAGCACAGGATGTATTTCCATTTATTGATGTCTTCTTTAATTTCTCTCATGAGTGTCTTATAGTTTTCAGGGTATAGGTCTTCCACCTCCTTGGTTAGATTTATTCCTAGGTATTTTATTATTTTTGATGCAATTGTGAGTGGAATTGTTTGCCTGATTTCTCTTTCTGCTAGTTCATTGTTAGTGTATAGGAATGCAACAGATTTCAGTGTACTAATTTTGTATCCTGTACCTTTACTGATTTCAATTATTAGTTCTAGTAGTTTTGGAGTGGATTCTTTAGGGATTTTTATGTACAATATCATGTCAACTGCAGATAGTGACAGTTTAACTTTATCCTTATGAATCTGATCACCTTTTATTTCTTTGTGTTGTCTGCTGTGGCTAGGACCTCCAGAACTATGTTGAATAAAAGTAGGGAGAGTGGGCATCCGTATCTTGTTCTCAATCTTACAGGAAAAGCTTTCAGCTTTTCAGCGTTAAGAATGATGTTGGCTATCAGTTTATCATATATGGCTTTTATTATGTTGAGGTACTTACCTCTACACCCATTTTGTTGACAGTTTTTATCATGAATGGATGTTGAATTTTCTCAAATGCTTTTTCAGCATGTATGGAAATGATAGTGATTTTTGTCCTTCTTTCTGTTTATGTGGTGTATAATGTTGATGGATTTTCAGATATTGCACCATTTTTGCATCCCTGGAATAAATCCTACTTGATCATGATGGATTTTTTCATGTATTTTTGAATTTGGTTTGCTAATATTTTGTTGAGTATTTTTGCCTCTATGTTAATCAGGGATATTGGTCCATAATTTTCTTTTCTGTGGTGTCTTTGCATGGTTTTGGCATTAGAGTGATGCTGGCATCATAGAATGAGTTTGGGAGTATTCCCCTCCTCTTCTACTCTTCGGAAAACTTTAAGGAGGATGGGTATTAGGGCTTCACTAATCTTTCATAAAATTCAGAGGTGAAGCATTCTGATCCAGAGGTTTTGTTAAGTAGTTTTTTTGATTATCAATTCAACTTAATTACTAGTAGTATTCTCTAATAATTCTTTGTATTTCTGTGATGTCTGTAGTGATTTTTCTTTTCCAATTTCGGTTTCTGTTTATGTGTGTAGACTCTCTTTTTTTTCTTGGTAAGTCTGGCTAGGGATTTATCTATTTTATTTTCTCCAAGAATAAGCTCCTGATTTTATTGATTCTTTCTATTGTTTTGTTCTTCTCAATTTATTTATTTTTCTCTTATCATTACTACATCCCTCCTTCTACTAACTTTAGCCACATTTGTTCTTCTTTTTCTAGTTTCATTAGTTGTGAGTTTAGACTGATCATATGGGATTGTTCTTCCTTCTTGAGATAAGCCTGTATGGCAATATACTTCCCTCTTAGCACGGCCTTCCCTGAGTCCTACAGATTTTGTGGTGTTGAGTTATTTTTATCATTTGTCTCCATATATGGCTTGATCTCTGTTTTTATTTTGTCATTGATATATTGATTATTTAGGATCATGTTATTGTAGCCTCCATGTGTTTGTGGGCTTTTTCATTTTCTTTGTGTAATTTATTTCTGGTTTCATACCTTTGTGATCTGAGAAACTGGTTGGTACAATTTCAATATTTTTAAATTTCTTGTGGGTCTTTTTGTGGCCTAGTTTATGATCTATTCTTGAAAATGTTCCATGTGTACTTGAGAAGAATGTGTATCCTGCTGCTTTTGGGTATAGTGTTCTGTAGATGTCTGTTAGGTCCTTCTGTTCTAATGTGTTTTTCAGTGCTTCTGTCTCCTTACTTATTTTCTGTCTGGTTGATCTGTCCTATGGAGTGAGTGGTTTGTTGAAGTCTCCTAAAATGAATGCATTGCATTCTATTTACCCTTTAATTCTATTAGCATCTTTTACCAATATTTAGGTGCTCCTGTGTTGGGTGCATAGATATTTATAATGGTTATGTCCTCTTGTTGGACTGACTCTTTTATCATTATGTAATGTCCTTCTTTGTCTCTTGTGACTTTCTATGTTTTGAAGTCTATTTTATCTGATACAAGTACTGCAACTCCTACTTTTTTCTCCCTATTATTTGCATGAAATATCTTTTTCCACCCCTTCACTTTTAGTCTGTGTGTCTTTGGTTTCGAAATGAGTCCCTTGTAGGTGGCATATAGATGTATCTTGTTTTTTTATCCCATTATGTAACTCGATGTCTTTTGATTGGTGTATTCAGTCCATTTACATTTAGGGTGATTATCCATAGGTATGGACTTATTGCAAATGCAGGCTTTTGATTCATCATTTACAAAGGTTCAAGGGCAGCTTCTTTACTATCTAACAGTCTAACTTAACTTGATTATTATGCTATTATAAACAGAATCTAAAGGTTTTATGCTATTACAAACAGAATCTAAAGGTTTTCTTTTTCTCTCTCTTCTTTTTCTTCCTCCTCCACTCTTTATATGTTAGGTATCATATTCTGTACTCTTTGTGTATCCCTTGACTGACTTTGTGCGTAGCTGATTGAATTTTGCATTTGCTTAATATTTAATTGGTCTACTTGCTTTACTGTGGTTTTATTTTCTCTGGTGAAATCTATTTAGCCTTATGCATACTTCCATCTAGAGCAGTCCCTTTAAAATACACTGTAGAGATGGTTTGTAGGAGGTAAATTCCCTCAATTTTGCTTATCTGGAAATTGTTTAATTCCTCCTTCAAATTTAAATGATAATTGTGCTGGGTAGAGTATTCTTGGTTCGAGACCCTTCTGTTTCATTGCATTAATTAAATATGTCACGCCACTTCCTTCTGCTGAGAAGTCTAATGATAGTCTAATGGGTTTTCCTTTGTATGTAATCTTTTTTCTCTCTCTGACTGCTGTTAATACTCTGTCCTTTTCCTTGATCTTTGCCATTTTGATTATTATATGTCTTGCTGTTGTCTTCCTTGGGTCCATTGTGTTGGAAGATATGTGCACTTCCATGACCTGTGAGACTATTGCTTTCCCCAGACTGAGGAATTTTTCAGCAATTATTTCCTCAAAGACATTTTCTATTTCTTTTCCTCTCTCTTCTTCTGGTACCCTATAATGCAAATACTGTTCCATTTGGATTGGTCACAGAGTTGTCTTATTTTCATTCCTAGAGATCCTTTTTTCTCTCTGTGCCTCAGCATCTTTGTATTCCTGTTCTCTAATTTCTATTCCATTGACTGTCTCTTCTACTTCATCTAATCTGCTTTAAAATCCCTCCATTGTATGTTTCATATCAGATACTGTATTTTTTAAGGTACCTATCTCCCTCCTGAATTGGTCCCTTAGCTCTCGAATATTTTCTGTGGCTCCATTAGCATGGTTATTACTTTTATTTTACATTCTTTTTCAGGAGTGGTGCTGGTGCCTGCTGAGAGGAAAGAGCTCTTTCCTGCTTTCTAGCCACTGTGCCTGCCTCCACTGCCAGGGCCAGTGGATTGAGCTTCCAGGAAGCAGCCTCTGCATTATGCCCCTGTAAGTTGCCATAAGTGGGGATGAGAATTTAAAAACATGGTAAGTGTTGAACCACTGTGTTGTATTTGAAATATAAGATTGTGTATCAATGATATTTCAATAAAAAAAGCTACCATCACATATTTTTCTTCCACCTCCTTCCTTTGTTATCATTGTCATATATCTTATTTCTGTGTTACAAACATCACATTTTGTTACTAGTTTTGTTTTAAATCATCTATCTTTTAAATAGATTTTTTATATCAGAAAAAGAAAAGAGTAAACTGAATTGAACCTAAAGTAAATCTTCCACTTCATGTACAACATAAGTTCACTTTTCCATATGTCCTAATAATAAATTATCTCTGACACCACAGGAGATGTTGCATGTAATATTCATTCTCTCACAGAGCAGTGCTGGACTTCTGCTTAGCTTCAACATTTTTGCTGAACTTTAAAACTATGGCAGGCATCATACTAATCAAAGATATTACAGCAGGCTACCAAGTACCTCTCTCAGGTCCTAATATGATGGTCACATTATGCAGTCTCCTACATGATTCCTAGATTGTAAGTGTAGCTATAGAGGAGTTTTCTTACCACATCTGATAATTTAGTAGTCCTTTCTGTTCTTGACAAGAAAGCATCATATCAGTTAGTCAAGGTAGGTAGCGCATCAGAAATTCCACCAATCTGTGAATTCCAAAAAGCATGTTGAGAGGCATAAAAGGAGCAGATCACTTATTTTATCAATACAAGTGGCACTATAAGTAATAAATTTGCAATGAAGTTCATCAATATTGCTGTCACTAAATAAAAATAGACATTCTTAAAAAAATTTTAAATTGGTTATAGAAGTAAAAGACTTTAAGTCAATGAGATAAGAAAATGGAAAAAAAGAATTGATTATGTGAACCTCTAGAAAAGTAAGATGGACCTATATACATTATTTAAAAAAATAAAGGGAGAGTTATTAGCTATACTCTAATGTCAAATTCAGACAGCACTTCTTGTTCTGTTTCATGTTGTAAGCTCAATAATATATATTTGGCCAATTATATAGTATTATTTATTAATAATTATTCAGACATGAAATTGAAATATATTATGATATCTATTTAAATTCATTATGTGGCAATCCTGGATTAATAAATTTTCTAAGCAAAATGATCCACACTCTTTTAAATATCATAATTCCTCTAATGAATTGAATATGTAAATTAGTAGGCTAGAGGAATCTGGTAATCTAAGATTTTAATTAGCAATTAATTCACCCTTGTGATATTATACTTTTCATATTTATCATACAATTTAGCCATTTGTATTCAGTCAATAATTTAAACTATTTAACCCGCAGTAACATTCTTTTTATTACAAAAGGGATGAGAATTTATTTTTCCATTTGTAAACACATCACCATTTTTATTTCAGAATTTGATACCTAATGGAATAGATATCTCTTTCTTCATTTACTGACAAACATTAGTCATCTAAAAGATGCATCCCTCACATACTGTATGTTTTAACCTATATGCCTCTCTATTCTAAATGCTGCAATTGGTACTTCTCCACTATTTTCTGCATATTATACCTACCTAGCCACTCAAAATAGAATAAATTCCATTACTCTAGAAAACAGAAATATCATAGTCACATCTTGTATAAATGCGAAAGTCTTCAATTATAGAGCATCTGACCCAGCATTACTATTTTCTGAAGATTAAAAATAATTTACTTTTATAGTGTTAGGGTCCGGGCTTCCGAGGCTTCCCCAGAGAACAAACTACACAGGCATAGAGATGTAAATTCAAGCAAAGTCTTTATTCAGCTAGCTAGCTGAGGTCCAAGTCAGCCCGATGCAGCGGGTCTCAACAAGGACCCTGAGCACTCAAAGCCAAGGGTTTATATAGCATTTTCAAAACACTTAACTCATAGTAATTTTCCACAGCTGCACATTATTCTTGCAAGACATACATCCTGGGGTTAGGCAGGAGCAAGATAAGACCACTCCTCAATTGTCAGGGAGGTTCTGCACGATAAGCTTGGTATGTAGGATTAGCTGACCAAGGTTAGCTGACTAACGGCCACAGCTGCCCACCATCTGGTGTTCATGATTAGCTTGTTTTTCAAGGCCTTACCCAGTTCCAGTTTTTCTTTCTAAGTCACATACTCAGAAAATGGCTTCTAGGCTTTTAAGATGGCTATGCTTATGCTAACCTATTTCTATTCTTACAATAGTAAGGTTATTATCATGTACAAAGTACTAGAAATTATAACATAAAGAAGTTCAAAAGCATTTTGAAATTTTTCCTATTTAGGAGTAGAAGTTAACAAACCAAGAAAATAAAATAAATTTTGCATTCCCTTTAGAGGTAATGAGTAGTTTGCAGAAGACCACATTTTTACCAAAAACAATTAAAAAGAAATCCAGATAAAATACAACAAAACCCTATTTTGAAGGGCCTCATAGAGATATGGATGCTTCCAACTCTATGAGTTGTCAGCACAGACAAGAGGAGCTAAGATTCTGAAGAGGGAAGGACTCCTGAAAGGTGAGTTAACAATCTGCAGGTACTTTTTCCCTGGAGGCATTTGCTAACAATAGGTAACAGAGAAAAAACTTGAGTTTAGACCTGGACAATAGCTGAGAAACAAGGAACTGAGAAACAAGCTTATTACAGTCTGTTTGGGCCTTATACAATCATCCCTGCAAAGACAGTCTTAAACAAAGATATGAAAAATACAAAACACCCTGTCTTGCCAATGGGTTTCAGCCCCGGGCAAGTTCACTATGGATTCAATATGACCAAAGAAACTGACAGCAAAACGTTCCTTGGGGTGAAAGGGTTTATTACCTGACTTGTTCTCCAGGCAGTATGTTGAGCACTGAGACAAGCTCTCTACATAGTGTAATAATAGCTTATTGCCTAAAGGTGTGGAAGCGGTAGCCTAGCAACAGGTCAGTTACATCATCAGGTGGTTTAAGTTCAGTGAGGATCCTGGCCATAGGAACCCCAACTTGCCCACACACCCATAAAGAATAAACTCTTAATAATGTAGATGAATAAAATTAGGTTTTTACATAAAAAACAAACTCCGTGGAATGATCAGAGAAAACAAATATCTAAAAAATATGTTGCAATAAAAATTAGTAACCTGGAAAAAACTAATGTCTAAAATACAAAAATTAATCCCTTAAATAAAATTTTTATGTATAATAAAATATAAAAAATTCAATATGTTAGCAATCCAGGACATCAAATTTCACCTACAAATTGTTAAACATACTTTTTTGTAGTTTATTTTCTTCACTGTTGCTGCCATTTGTTATCATCTTAAAATTAATTATCTATCTTAGAATTATACTAAACAAAAATCTAGTTATTAATTATACTGAATTGAAATCTGAAACTCTGTATTTTTTCACCTATTGGCCTTGACTGTAAGTCTTCTGAGAGAAAACTCTTCCATATTAGAAAATTTTCAGTTTTAAAGCCAGCTCTCAAGGTTAGTCTTCCTAAGTCTCCAATTCTTTATATTAAACAGCTTTGCTTCTGTCAAATGTCCCCTATGTGATAAGGTTTTAACTTATGTGCCTTCAACCCTCCCTTTACCACATTCCAATTTGTTTAAATTCCTTTTAAATTTTGGTACCTAAAAGAAAAAGAAACAAAACAAAATTATCAAGGTAGGTATAGCTAACAGGTTCTTACATTATAGTTACATAACTCTATAGTCCACTCAAACTACATTAGCGGTGTTGTAGGTCCTGGGACTATCAAAATGAAAAAGATGAGTTTCCTTGCATCCAAGAGCAAACAGGCTAAGAGGGGACACACACATGTAATCAAATACAGTGTGTGGGGAAGTTGGGGTTCCTATGGCCAGGATCCTCAATGAACTTAAAAACACCTGCTGATGTAACTGGCCTTGTTGCTAGGCTACTGCTTCCACATCTTTAGGCAATAAGCTATTGTGCTATATAAAGAGCTCGGCCCAGTGCTCTGGGGGAAGGCAGAGACGCTAGTGCTCGACCTACCGCTGGGAGAACAAGCCGGGTAATAAACCCTTTCACCCCAAAGAATGTTTTTGGTCATATTGAATCCATAGCAAACTTGCCATCAATTTCTTTGGTCATACTGAATCCATAGCAAACTTGCCCAGGGCTGAAACCCATTGGCAAGACAACTGGTGTAGTCAGCAGGGTTCACTGTTGACCAAGGAAAAAGACAGTAATCACACAGATGGCTCCAGCCATGGGCAGCCCCCAAAAATGGAGGGCCATAGCTTTCCATCCTAAGACTGAGACAATATGAATGGAAAGATGGTGAGGGGAAGAGCAACCGATGGGCAGAGTTGCAGGCTGTGTGGCTTGTAATCAGCCAGGAGTCCTCCCCTATAGTTGTCTGTACTGACAGCTGGTCTGTCTATCGGGGCTTGACTCTGTAGCTACCAACCTGGTACCATGTTAACTGCCTGTAGGTCACTGACTCCTTTGGGAGGAAGAATTGTGGCAAGACTTATGGGCCTGTGGTCGGACTAAAATAATTACAGCATATCATGTGATAGGTCATTTGCCACTGGCATCCCCAGGAAATGATAAAGTAGATAAATTGGCCCAGATATATTGGTTAGAAGGAAAGCTTGTCTCTGATGTAGCCCAATGGTTCCATCAACGTTTGTTGCATGCAGGGCAAAAGACAGTATGGGCTGTAGCCCATCGATGGGGCTTGCCTTTGACCTTCAAAGAAGTTAGTAGAGCCCGGCAGGAGTGTGTCATGTGCTCCAAAAGGGACTTACACCGAGTTCCACAGCAACATGGAACAATAGCTAAGGGGCCTATACCCCTTGTCAGGTGGCAGATAGACTATATTGGGCCTTTACCTGTGTCAGAAGGATATCGGTATATGATAACTTGTGTGGACACAGCTACTGGACTTCTGGTTGCTTTTCCTACCTGTTGTGCAGACCAGCAGGTGACCAAAAGAGACCTGGAGCGTCTCTTTGCTGCCTATGGCTGACTACAGGTGATTGAGAATGATCAGGGCACCCATTTTACTGGACATACACTGCAAGAATGGGTGCGACAGCTGGGAATCAACTGGAAGTTTCATGTGCCATGCAATCCTACCACAGCAGGCATGATAGAGAGGCACAATGGCTTGTTAAAATCCGGACTGAAGTCAGACACCAATAGTCTGCAGGGATGGTCAGTCTGCTTATGGACCATGCTATGGCATTTGAATGAGCCCCCGAAAGGGAACCCTGAGCCCCATAGACATGTTAACACATATGGCTGCCTCCCCCATACCACTGCAAGTACAAACCAAGGAAGAATCACTGAAGCCAAGTTTCAGCCACCAGAATAACACCTTGCTGCCAGCACCAACTGCACTGAACCCCAGAGACTCCATTGAGCGGACGTGGCCTTGGACCTTTCAACACATGGGCCAATGATGGCTGGCTCTCCTGGCACCTTGGGGACAAGGCCTGGAAGCTGGCCTCCTGTGTATTCCTGGGATAACAGCAGAGTGGCTGCCAAAGGTCACAGTAGTATATCCTGAATGGCCAGAAAGTAGGAGGATCTTACCAGGCAGTTCTGTTTTGTTATATGGCCAGTGCATGCACCTCCAGTAGCACTATATATAGAACCTTCAGTAACCCCCATGGGGAAAGGAGTAAAAGTATGGTATACTAGTCCTGGAAGGGAC